CACAGTCACCTGCCTGAGAGCAGGAAATGGGGCCATCAGCTCTGCAGTCCTTCCGGTCCTGCCCACTTTGAGTCCGAGCCACACGGACAGAAGGCCGTGGACCCAACTCCAGGCCACTGCCCACAATGACTCATAACCAACAACACCTGCGCTAGATAAATGTAAGCTGATAATCCGCATTGCGTGCACCTGGTGCCCATGGAGGCTTTCTAAAGACCATGCAGGCATGAGAAGAACTAATGACATTTTAATTTCCAGATCTGAAGCTTCTAGCTGATTTCTTTCCAAAAACTGACCCTGCCAGAGAATGTGCCTGTGGTTTAGAATCATTCAGGGCCTCCTTTCCCACCTCCGTTTTTTGCAAAAGCCTTTCCTCCACATGACCTGACCAAAAAAAGCCCCAAATCTTACTGTGACTGTTGATGCCCCAAATCTGCCTGCAATGCTTGACCACAAGGTATAAAAATACCTTTCTGTTGAGCAGCTTCCCAGGTACTTCTGATATAGAGGTTGGTATAGTATTTAGATTTTAATTGGATTCAAAGAATGACATCATCGTTTTATTTTTAAACATCCAAGTTTACAATATTCTGGAACTCACATTCACTGTGAATCTTTTAAATTCACGATGAAAACTGTCAGATGCCAACTTAAAGCGTGTGTAAGAGAGAAGCAGAATTTTAAAAAATTCTTTAAGAGTTTATAGGAGGAAAAAACCTTGAAGCATAAGAAAGCACTGGTATCTGTTCCCAGGCAGATCTGTTGATCAAGTGCAATCATTCTCCACAGCGCCAGAGACTCATTACTTTTATCATAAAGAATGCCCTTGACTCTAACATAAATTTCTGCTTGGTGTGTGTGCCATACCAATGGCATTAGCTGGTCTGTGTCCGAAAATGAAAACAACGGGTCGTTCTCTAAGAGTACAGCAACAATATGGGTGAGCATAGGAATGTTAGGGCCCAAGTAATACTTTGGAAGCAAGAGCAGCTGCTTCTTAGGATCTCAGGATTGATAGGAACTGAAAATTAAAGGACACAGAGCCTGTCTGGGAAGCAGAGGTCCTCCCAAGATTTAGTACCAAGTTAGTGTTCTGGATCATGGCATAGTCACTATATCAGGGAAGCCCCAGAACACCGAGCAGCTTCACATTCAGCTCTGAAATAAATTCATCTTTGCAAAGAATAAAGCCTTGGCTAACACCTGCTCCTGCATAGTCAGCTTTCTGGGCTGTCTCAGTTGGGAACTGCTATGCATTCCATGTTCAGCAAGATACCTAGTGACACTTAAGAATCAAATGTAGGGGGCTTTAGCATGCCTCAAGGGGAAACAGGGCTTGCTTACCCCCCCACCACACCGAGAGATGTCTAATTTCCTTGATCCCCTTTGATAATACAGATGGGCTTTTCATATGAGCACGTGAGCATGCTCTTGAGGGACTCTTTGTCCTGCCACAGTGAAAAGCGACACTAAAACAGCACGTGTTGCCTCCCCCCACAGAAAAACAATGAGATAGCATGGGAACAGAATAAACAAACTTCGGAATCTGGCCAACCTGCACTTGAAATCCAGCCTTCCCACCAAATGGGCTTCAGGTGGCCTTGACCAACGGCTTCATGTTTCCAAGTACCAGATTCCTTGTTTGTCAAATGAAGATAAATATTTCAGCCTTACAGTAGCATTGGAATGATTTCATGAACCTGAATATAAACAGGAAAGGCACCCAATGAACTCCAAGCAGCTCAAAAGCTGCCTGCCACGCTTAGAGATCTTACTTGGTTGCAGCGTGCCTTAGCCTAAGCCACACCTGCATCAGGGCACCCCCTAGCATGCCTCAGTAGGGACATGCCACAACGCTGATAGCTATGAACACTTTTTCCTTGTGCTCACAGGATAGTTTGCCTTGTTTTCAAGCACATGTCAGCGGAGTGACTTCAGCTGCTACCCCTTTTCTTAAACAGTGTATGTGAACCAGCGGTTCTTAATCTCTTTTTAGTCACAAATACCCCTTTCCCTCAAGAAAGCTGCGTTTAGGTACATATGCATTAAATTTCACATCAAGATGATCGAGCTCAATGACCCCCTAAACACCATCACTGGCCTGCCCTCCACAATGCCTACGATTCCTATTGAAGCAGCCTCCTCTGAACAAAGAATCAGTATATGCCTTCTTTTTGAACACATGGGCGCCTCAGGGTTTGCACCTGGACAGTGGTGTCAAGGTCAAAATGCCAGCTTCACTCACGTTCTGGTCCTAGGCTTCCTATCGAGAGGAAGCAAAGAAAATCAGTCCAGGGTATCTGTGAAAAGTTCCTAGTCAAGAATGCTTTTTACATGGATCTGGGCAAAGGCCTAGAAATTAAAATTAAAACTTTAAATGAGATAACATAAGAGATTAATAATCCCTACACAACAATTAACCAGTGTGATTGTCCTGCAGCCCTGAAGAGTAGATTCAGGCTGCCCAGGGTTCAAATCCTGACTCTATAATTTAGTAGCTGAGCAATTTTCCAAAAGTTACCTAATATCATTGTGTCTTAGTGTCCTCATCTGTCAAATAGGATTAAAGATATATAACTCATAAGATTTTTGTGAGGGATTAAATAACTTAATACATGGAGAAATAACTTAAAATCCAATGACTGGTCAAGTGCTCAACACATTTTAGTAAATGTGTTGGTGATGTAATAAATTCAGTAAATGTATCAAGCCCTGGTAAAATGCTCGATGTATTATCAACCTTTGTTTTACGCGGTAGAGCAATGTGTAGACAGAACAAAACGATGAAGGAAGATACTTGAGTTTGCAAAGGACCTTGCTATTTGGGGCTAGGTTAAGTGACAGAAAGAAACAGGGTGATGGGGAAGAATGAGTAGCCCGTTTAGGTAACTAACTTTGAATGAAGCCTGTGCACAGTCTGTGTTGAGAGACATGGTTTCATGACTTAGTATATAACTTACAAGACTGGACAGTGCGGCACCAAAGATGGATCTCTAAGAATTACTTAACTCAGTGCTGGAGTCAAAGGAAAGGCTTATTTATTAAAGACTTGGGAAGAAGTGTTTGGGGAAGTAGAAGGGCTGGGAAGAGAGTTAATAGAGCCCCCTTTTAGACATAAAGCATGATGGCAAAAATGCTGTGTGACTTCCTCTTACCATCTCAGAAGCTTGTCAGAAACTAGGAACCAGGGACCACCACTGTAAGAACTGCCCCACTTTCCTGTGGGTTGAGTTTCTTTTCTCTGTCCCTACCAGTAACGGTGATCACACCTAATGATGTGAGACCTCAAACACTAAAGAGCTTCAGGACATGCTTCAGTAGAAGAGGAAAGGCTGGGATATGCATGGAGGAGCGGAGCCACACCTCTGCTTTGGGACACTGTGCAGCAGATGTGCAAAGACCTAGAGGCCAAGGGAAGGGAAGCAGGCGCACCAGTGCCTAAGGCTCAAGACAAGGGAAAAAAAGAGAGACATAGGAGATGTTCTGGGCCAAAGCTGAGCCCAGAGCTGGACAGGCTGGAAAGAGCCTGAACTGGACACCCAGACATATTGTCCTAACTTCCTAAAGATGGTCCTACAAGATTAAAAAAAAAAAAAAAAAAAAAAGTCTCTTAGAGCACTGAGTCCTCAGAACTTAAACATTGGCAAGTTGATGCCTAAGAAGAGAGCATTTGATGACTGTGTGGTAGCAGTGCCTGAGTATATTTTATCAAGAAACATGGTCAAAAGAGCAGAGTTTGGGTCCTTGTCTCTCACACCCGAACTTTGGGAGAAAACCGGGCATTTTAAACAACCGGAGGAAGTATTAAACACATTCCCACTAGCACTCTCAGGATGCAACTTGCACCGAATTCTCCATTTCAAATGCACTAACACTGGTTGTCTTTCACTGTAATTTTCACAGTGAAAATGCGAACGGAGACCGTCACCCCTATTGATGCTAATATTAGCCGCATGATGTCTTCTACAGTTCCCCATGTCTTACTGTCAGCTATGCTTTCTCCTTATCTGGAATATTTGGAAGCAATTTTTCACTACCCTGAACAGCAATAAGTCCTCAGAGCACATTTGAAAGGCAATCCAGGCAAGAAAATGGCTGGCTACTTGTTCTTGCCCCTTACCTAGATGTGGTAGAAGTCAGAATACAGAATATATTCCATCTTCTGCATTTTGATGAGTCTCCGATCTCCTAAGTAATTTCCTGTCCTGATCCTGGGTTTCTGTTTAACCTTATTAACCGAGGTACAAGTCATGAGACTCCCGCACTCAGTTCCCATCAGTGCTGGAGGATCACTGCCCTTATGATGACGACGCACAGATTCATAAGGCCAGAGCGATTCCGAAGTGGGAGTGGGGGAAGGAGGGCCACGCGCCTGGGAAGGTGTTGACGAAAACACATCCCCCAACCACACTTTTTTGCAGCAGTGGGAGAAAATGACATCTTCTTGCGTGAGTGTTTAATTAATGCCCTGCTGGAAGTACATTCGCTCCCTCCGACTTGTCGGGTAGCAACAGCATCTAAGAGCCTTGCAGACAGCTGAAAATGTAATCAAACCGCATCCTTTCCTTTCCCTCCGCAGCTCCCCCTCCCCCAGGGGCCGTCAGCTGGTGGCCCAGAGGGGTGCGGATCTCACCGCCGCTGGCCTTCTGCTGCCTAGGACAAGACCGAGGCGGCGCGCCCTGGGATGACCCTCCCAGCCCGCCAGGTGGGCGACAAGGTGATGACACCACGACCCCTCCTCCTCTGCTCTCGCCTCTGGGCTCTCCCGGGGAGCTGCAGCAGGGGACTGCCGCTGGGGGGCTCTGGCCGCCTTAGGGCGCCGCGGAGCACACAGGAGCCTGGGGAGGGGGCCGAGGCTAGGGTCCGGCTGCGGCTGCGGCGGCCCGAACTACTGCCCGGCTGCCGGCGTGGACGACCCCGGGGCGGGGAGGGTCGGGGAGGGTCAAGGAGGGGCGCGGAGGTGGCAACCAGACGAGCCCGACACCCTCCCTCTTGTTTACCTGGACGCGCTCGGCGAAGGCGGAACTGGGCTCCAGGAGCGAGCTCGGCGGCGGCTCCCGAGGAGAGGGCTGCGGGGTCGGAGCTCGAGCGGCTCCCGAGGGCGGCGGGCCCGGCGCGCGCAGGATGTGCTGTCTCACGCTGCGCCGGCCGCTTGGCTCGCGCTCCTCGGGGACCCAGCACTTCCTCTCTCTCCGCGAGCCTAACACTGACAGCTCCCTCGGAGCACCCAGGCTGCGGGGCTCGCCCCGCCCCCGGCCCACGCCCTCCACGCCCCACGCCCCACGCCCCGCGCCCCTCCTGCGGGAGGGCCCTCCACTCGCGCTCTCGCACGGGTCTCGCAACGAAGGGGTGGGGCCGGCCCGAGGGCTCGCGGCAGGCAGAGCACCTGGGGAGGTTAATCCGTCTATCTCCGCGTCATCCGCAGGACTCACCTAAGTTGCTGCAAACTGAAGAGCTTCAGTATTTTGGGAGCTGCTGCTCACATAGCGACATGGAACAACTTTCACTCCCAGACAACTACTTTAAGGTCATTGAAGTAGAAATAGAGAAAGCTCAGATCCATCTGCTACAAAGACATAGGCTGATTTCGCCCTATTTTTTTTCCCAGAAGAAAAAGATACAGATATAGCTTGCCTCCACAACAGCGCTTCTTAGAACCCTAGCTTTTAAAAAATCTGGGTAACCATTCTTGAACTCCCCCAGTGCTTACTGTTAACAGCTAAGTTTTGAGACCCAGAAATGGAGTTTGGGATTCTAATCAATGCCGGTTTGGCACCATTTTGTAGGTAAGTTTTTCACTGTGCTTCTCGAATATCTGTGGGATCTTTGTTGTCCACATTAACATGGAATTTACTGGAGGACAAGTACTGTGTCTAATTCACTCCTGTATTCCCAATACCTCTAACAATGTTTGATGCATACTAGATGCTCAGTAAATATTTATGAATTTATTTAATCGACTACTACAGTAATTTCAAAATAAATATAGATGTGATTGTAAAAATTATGTCATATTTGATGTCTGTAAAACGGCCGTCCTTTTTCCAGTTTTGCCTGCCTGGCAAATTATTGTGACCGTAAATATGGCTAAAAGAGAGACAAGTGGAATGTCATTAGATAGAAGGAATTCAGGATATTTCAGAGAAAAAAAATTTGTGAAACAAATACTTGCCACTGCCATGTATCATATACTTAATAGATGTTAAACTCTACATACACTTTTCTTTTAATTTTTTCTTTAGCGCTGTGTAGTAGATAAAATGTCATCCCGCAGTTAGAGGAATGGGTCTCGAAGTTAACTAGCTTGCCCAAGTTCTCCAGCTACTGAGTGATCCAGCTGAGATTGGAATCCCTGTCCACTTGACTTCTTGTGTGTTCCGGACTGCTATTAATATCTTCCCAATTTGGGAGTTGTTGCCCACTACCTCCAAAGCACTGTGCTAAGAGCTTCAGATGGTAAAAACATGAGGAGAATATAATGCCTTTTCACAACAAGTTAAAATCCAGTTGAAGGTAGAAGGAGGGGCAAACATATAATTTCAGGCAAACAATAAGAAAATGGCCAAAGCAATACAATATGTTAAGAGAACTCCGATAAGCTCCGATGGTAGGAGAAAATTAGAATTTTGAATATGGATGATAGCTGAAATGGATAGATAGGGCTTTTAACAATAGAAATGAAGAGGAAAAACATTTTTGGGCATCAACAAAGCTCTGGAAAAGAGAAAGAACATGTTCTCAGCAAATGTCAAGTGGCCCAAATTTTTTGGAAGATGGCAGACTCATGGGGGAGCATACTGGAACTTGAGGGAGGCTGAAGAGGAGATAGTGGAGTACCACCATTACAAATGTTTGAGCAGGAAATAACACTTGGGAAAGGTCATCTAGGAGCTTCTATGGATAGGGGATTGGAACGAGCAAAGACTAATTCAAAGTTCATTATAAGAATCTAGGCCAGGATTAAGAACTGAATTTGTCAAGTTGTATTCACTATGAATGGCTTATAATATAACCTCAGCACAAATTTTAAATAAGTAGTTATAATTATTTTCATTATCATGTGTCCAGGCATAGTATAGATACTGGGTATAAGACTGTAAATAAATAAGAGATGAATGATCTCTATATTCCAAAAACTATATTCCAAAAACTCAAAAGACACAATTGGTTTTAATATAAGATTCAGAGAAGTAGAATAATGGAAGACATCTGCCATGAGAGATCAAACAGAAAATACATTACAGCTGGGGAATTCTTATGACCTGCAAGGGTTTGTTGAAGAGATCTGGGTGGATGTGTATCATCAGACACGAATTTTGACAATGTGCCTTTGAGAACAGAGTTAGGTAGCAGGCATAGACCTTATTTTTATTGATAGATCTTATTTTTTAGGGCATTTTAGGTTTATAAAAAAAAAAAAAAAACTTGTGCAGAAAGTACAGGGTTTCCCTAAACCCCTTACAAATTATAAACTGCTCATTGCAAATGTACCTCTTAATCTACTTAATGCTCCAAAATTTGAAAGAACAGCTCCAAGAAGGAGTTAAATGGCTACTATAAAACATGCTGGACAAATTTCTAACTTGTTAGCCTTTAAGAGATTGCTTTAGAGCCCTCCAGAGAGACAGTGGTGTGGCCCAATTCCCCTACTCTGGAATCAGACTCTCTGAGTGTGAACTTAAGCGAAGTCTGCTGCTTACTGGTTTTGTATATTTGCACACATTACTAGACTCCTCTGAGTCTCAACTCTCCTAGAAGTCAAAAAGGGGGTAATGACACTTGTCGCCTGTGATATTTTGATGTGTTAATCCATGTGAAGCACTTGGCATAGCCCCTAGCATATCACTGGAAACAATGAATGTTAGCTCTAGTTTGCTATTATTAATTAAGTCTGCATGAAAAGTCCTAGAGCTTTGTAGTCTCTAAATTCAAGTGTCTAATCTGTGATATTATCAGACTTCAGGGACCAATCAGACCCAGCCTTCAAGACAGATTATTCTGCCGTCATGCCCCTGTCATTCATCAGTACTAGATACAGGTGAGGCCGCACAGCTGGCTCCCTTGGCTAACTTACTTTCCTAGAGCCCCACTTCATCCTGGTTCCGACAACATTCTTACACAGCAGATCTCATCTGCCTGAGAATCTCCTGCAGAAGTTATTCTTCAGTCTATTATATCTTAGTTGAAAGAAATAAAACTGAAGATTAACCTCAGTGGTCCAAGGGCTCTAAAACCCCAGAAAAGAAATGTGAATCATCTGAATCAATTTTTTAAATTGTAAGGTAACCGAAGGAAAAAAAATGCTTGAGAATATTCTCCACTTAAGACAACATACGAAAAAAAAAAAAAAAAAAAAAAAAGACAACATACGCTTTACATTGTGCTCAGAATAAAAACCTGTAAGGAAACTAATTTAAAACCACTGCCAAATGTCATATATGGTTTTGTATGGGATATATATCAGATGAAATATGTTTTATGTGTTTTTCTATTATCTGACCGAAGTTGGTCAATTTGTGCCAAATAAAAACAATAAAAGATGTCCAGAAACGGGTGTGTTATTAATATTTGAAGATTTATTAGAAATTGAAGAGTGACTTATGAGGAAATCAATGATTCCAATGTCTAAGGCACCTCCTGCTTTTTGTCTTCTGGACACTTCATTACAGGATGTTGCCTATGTTGTTATATAGTTGGTGTGAAGAATCTGTAATAAATAAATACACACACATAAAATTTGCTTTCAGTTTTGGAAAAATGAATTCAGAGGTATCAGTTGTATAGTTTTAGATTTTTCTAAATGCCTTTTGAATAACTTCCAACTGCAACTTCACTTATACTGTAATTACCTATATTTGTCATGTATTTGTGCTGTAATCACCATATTTCCACCCCTTCTCTTTTTCCTCTTTGTGTCTGCCCCCCCTCCTTCTTATATTTCCTTCCATCAGCTTTTCATTCAAGGATGATGCTAAGGCAAAATGCCTATGTTTTAACAATCTGTAGTAAAATGCAACCATGAAAATAACTATACAGCAAAAGTAAAACACTTTAAATCCTAAAAAATCATTTTAAGCACTTAAATTTATGGGTACAACTCCAGTGATTATAAAACATAAATTATTTGTGTTGCTTTAAATTCACTTTCCATCAGTGTCTAAATATAAATCTTTATGAAGATATATTTATAAATATAAATCTTTATTTTTATCAGCTGTGAAATCAATATATATTTCTTTATATTCTTCCTCCTTACTTGTTTATTTCAAATGTGTATTTCTAGGAACCAAATAAACCTACCTTGCCAAAAGAAAGTAACCACACTCTGGGTAAATTATTTCTTTAGGTTATTTCCTAGAAACAGTATTTTATAGTTCTTGTAACCACTCCTCAGAAAGATTGTTCCTAATCCTAACAGCTCTATCTGCCATAATTCTCCCAACTCTTTAAAAAAGTTATCTGTATTTATTTATAAGTAAGTAAATATATATTTATTGGTACTGTTTGTGTGTCTTTGACCGCAAGTCTGAGCATTTTCCTTTATGGTGCTTCATTATTTGTTATTTCTCATGTGCTGTTAATATTATTTGACTATTTGAAAAGTGAAATCTTAATAATTTGTGTATTTTAGAAAACAAATTTTATATATTACATGTTTCTAACTTCTTTTTCCTCTTATGCTTACTTTATTATAGAGTAATACTTTAAGAAAAATTATAAAAGTCTGTATAAAATAACAGAATTTTCTTGTACTGAAGGGATGTATAAATCAGAGATATAACATTCAGGTCCAGAACACAGGCTCTGAGTCAGGCACATCCAGATTAACTAGTTCCTATGATTCACTAGTTGTGTGATTCTGCACAAACTGCTTAAACCACTCTAGCCTCAATATCTCTTCATCTGTAAAATGGGTATAATAGTGCCCATCTCCTAAGACTGTAATAAGGACTAAATGATGTAGTACCTGTAAAACACTTAGCATGGTGATTGGCACCAAGTAAATACTAAATGAATGGCAAACATTGTTATTATGTGGATAGGATAGGCACAGCAAAAAGACTAAAGGGTTACACAAAATGTTGATGCTGGCTGTTTTGCGTCGTTCGACTCTGGATTTTTTTTTCTTTTGAGTCTATACTTATTTTCCAATTGCTCTGTGATGAGTTCGCATTATGTGTCCCAATCAGCCTGTTAGATGTGAGGGATATTCAGTAACAGGATCAAGCCACTTAAAAACAAACAATATATTATA